ATTATAATTCAATAAAATATCTATATTATTCTTGTTATTCTTATGCTGGAAAATAATTTAAAAAAATAACTCCTCACAATGACTCATGTATTTGACTTCAGGACATCTCTGACTAAATATCAGCTAAAAGTCCAAAACATTTACTGTTTCAATTTTGCAATTTTCCAAAGTAAAAGTCCCTTGACGTGTATGATTCAACTGTTCCCCATGGTCTAGTGTTAAAAAGTACACTAGAACCACACTAGTGTGGGTACTCCCCAGGTATTTATTTTTCAACACAGTCACAGTCTTTTGGCAATAATAATTCAACTGGACCACAGCTGGTGGAGTGCATTTTAAAGAGAATACTGTGGCTGATGTGGCAGCATGGTTTAACAGCAACATACTGTCGTGCTGCTCTTTTAGCCATGTTCTCTGAATCTCCCCTTCTGCTTAGTCGGCACAAAGATAAGACGGCAGCTCAACACGCTGCCCGGGAGCAGCAGCCCTGCGTGTGAATCCGGGGGGGATCTGCTCCTAATTAGCAGCTGAGAGGAGGACACTAGAATGACAGTGACCTCGTGGGTTCCTCCTGAATGTCACATATTTTACATCATTGTCAAAGCGATGTGATGTGACCCTCCTGAAGATCCTGAGGAACCCAAAGCAAAGAGTTATTTTTGGACGTGTAATTAGTGAGGAATACCACGGCTTTGAAGCTCCAGCCAAACATCTGCTGGCTCTCCCTCTTGTCTTCATACTTCCCCCATACCACCCTTTTAATCTCTGTCTCCCCCCTCTCTATTCCACTCTCTCTCTCATCACTTTTTATTTTCCAACCTTACTTTTCGGATCCTGCTTCGCTCAATGCATCTCCCATTCCTCCAAACCTCTCCGACCGGGGGCCAGGCCTGTGACGGTCAGTAATGCTACTGCTGTCTTCACTGTGACGTCCACTTCCCTTCCGTCGGGCAGAAAGCAGACAAATAATGTTTGCAAAGACATGGTGTAGCAAGAAATCCAATTAGAGCTCAAAGCTGTAAGGAATGCCAATTACAGCTCCTCTACTGCCTTACATATTCATATTTTGTGCTGCTTGTGTGTGTGTGTGTGTGACTGTGGGAGACAGCAGGTGTTGCTGCATAACGTTTCTGAATATTAGTCATCAGTTGTTGAGCACCTCTTAAATCCTCTAGAACAGTTGGGTCTATTATGTCAGACATGCTAGCAGGAGCGTGTGAATCAATTTAGAAGAAAACAACAAGAAGAGGGTTCTTTAAGTAAAGAAGTCAGCCGGGGTTCGTCCTCACAGAGCACCGGGACGAGAAGAAGACCTGACACCTAACAGGAAAACGAGCACTCATGTCAGGATGATATCAACCGCTCCACTTTAGGTTGTGCTGTATGTACAGATGGCTCTACAGTGTGCACTTCATTACCTGAACACCTCTTTATTTGTCCTGTTCTTCATCTTGACAGCTGCCACTGCTGCTGAACACACCCACCCCACCGACTGGCCTCAGACCTTGTACACGTACATTGTTTTCTCCGACTTAAGTAGGTCTTTGATCACAGCTACAAACCCTTCTGGGGAACACTTTGGCTTTATACACGTTCATTTTTCATCCATATGTTGGAAGTTAACATTTGACCGTGTCTTTATCGCAAAGACCTATATACATATTGTAGTTTCACCGTGTGAAAGAATGAACAATGTACATGTTTTCTTCTAACGAGGGCTGAAATCAACACTATGACTGTTGTCCTCAGGCAGTGTGTAAGTATATTATGAACGTACTCAGCACAGTACAGAGCAATGTGACGGTCCAACACCGTCTCACGGCAATTCGTGAAATAGACGCAAAATAAAATCTATTGGTTTCATGTTCAGGGATTGACGTCCTGGTTGACGGTCCTGCTTGGGACCTCCCATCACACCCGCCCTGAGACGTGTTTTTTGGATAAGTGCGTCACTTGCTCAGACTGTTGCTTAGTCGAGTGGATGCATTTAATTTGTGTCTCCACCACGAATAACGCTCCTAATTAACTTCCCATTGGTATTATTTTCGTGCTGAGCGACACAAAAAAACCAGACAATTCGTGTCCCTAGACAGGAACCAATAGATTGCGTTTCGTGACTATTTCACGAACTTCCATGAGACCGTTAGATGAAGAGATAGAGTTTTTCCTGGGGGTTGTGACAGAGGAAAACGAAAACGGTCGATTCTCTGGGAAGCATTAATGTGCACAAGCTGACGCTTTATCCCCGTGTTGGTGTTTGAAAAGTCCCAATGTCACCTAAACCATTGAGATTCATCCTCTGGGCAACCTCGGAACTCATGGTTGACAGACCGGACTGTTTCACAAGTAGCCGATGAGCCAAGCTCATATTAAGATCATCGTCAGACAATAGCCGGTGGGTTTCCCAGGTTCCCCAGGACTCTTTTGCTCTCCGCACTGTTTACCTGCATTCAACAAAGCCTGCTCAAACATGATTGAGCGAAACTATTCGGACTGCAAACTGAAACCAGAATGCTTCTGATACCAAAATCTTGTCCCGTGATTATCCTCCGAAAACAACATTGTGTTAAATAAAACACAAAGAGCTGCGCTGGCTCTGAAAGGAAGGCAGATCGGAATAGTGGATCCTTGACTTTGAAGGGTCATCAGACGCCTAAACACTTCGTGGCAGTGATTAATACTATGAGGAAGAATCTGACATTTAACAGTAGATTCACTACAAAGTAATCTGCTAGGAATGTGCACTTTGATGTACTTGAATCGGATGCTGTTGCAGCAAACGTTGAGGCGGGGTCAACATTGAAGTTGATCAGTCCTGTGTTCTTTTGCCAGAGTCCTGCGGTGGTGTTACTGAACAGAATGAGGAGGTTGTTCTCTCATCAGTCTGAATTCTGCCTTAAGGGGTCAGGCTGCTTCAGAGGAAGTGCTCGTTGCATCCAGAAGTGTATGCAGGCCATCAGGCATTGCCACTAAGGGGATGAAAATGATCTAATATATATTATACATATATATATATAAACATATTTAGCCAGACAGTACTTTGCCCGCCACGCCCTCTCTGAACTCCAGAGTTTAGAGCCAAGTTAGGCTTTGGTTTAATTGACTCAGTCATTTTTCTCCATCTGGCTGCCAATCTTTGGCCCAGATCTCCTCCCACGGGACAGATTTTCTGTAAAACTGTCAGAAAAGCAGTCACTCTCTCACTGTAAAAGCCAGTTGGCAGCGTGGCAAACCTGGACCCTCACCTTTCTCTTTCAGAGGTATCTTATACCCACATCTGCTCCTCCATTTTGTTTTTTTCTGACGCTCTGTCTCCAGACTGTTCCACGCTCTGTGAGAGGAGAGTGCATATGTGTCTCTGAGGGGGTCCAGCACTGTTTCTGCTCCTCATTTATCTGCTTTTACTGAGCCCACTTTCTCCAGAGCTGGATTTATGGGGGGAACTGGGCCCTGTGAGGACCTTGCCATGTGTGCACACGCTGGAGTCTGAAGCCTGGCATGTGTGAGTCAGATAGACCGGCTGCTTTGCTGTTTCTGGTCTTTGGGGTGTTTTGTTTTGCTCTGAATATTCTGCCAGACGAACCATCTCCGTTCAACATGTCTTTCCTCAGAAAACCTCTGATTGTACAGCAGAGCATAATCAAGGCGAGACACTGGTGCACTGGGAGAGTTTGGGCTTTGTTGCCTCCTGATTTATCAAAAGTGTCCATTAGATAATGCCTCACTTGCATATTTGAACATACATATATCAGAACATGGAGAAAATAGATTTTCTGATTTATGGAGTGATACAAAGAGATATCCACAACAACAACAACAGGTGAGCTGTAGAGGGGCTGGATTATATTACAGTACATGGACAGAGCCAGGCTAGCCGTTTACAGCTAACTGATGCATAATAACTGCACAGATATGAGAGTGGGATCAATCTTTTCACCGAACTCTTCAGCTGTGTTTCCCAAAATAGTGCTGCATGTCACTGAATTCTCCAAAGCAAAAAATAACAAATCTGAAGTTTTCACCAAAACTCTTGAATTAGTTTCACAATGAAGTCGGCATCCTGTTGGCCAGTGTAGCTCGGCTTGACAGCAGGCACAGCGAATAATCCTGGATTCTGATGCCAGCTGCGATCAGCAGTACGGCTAAAGAGACTTCTGTTATCTATGTATTTGTTTATTTTGCAGGGACAATGTACACCAATCAACAGTCAAACTGTAAGTGAGCCAGAGTTAGCCAGAGAGGCTAGTTTTCATCTGCTGTCATTCTTCAGTCAAGTTCAACTTTAGAAAATGGACTGGTTTCTTATTATTTAGCCGACTGGAGAAAGCCACTCATGAGTTTCACTACCCACATTGGGACCTCAGCAACCTCCATCGCTCTGGCATCAATCAAAGACTTCTACTAAGTCTTCACTGTGGACAGTGCTGCAGCTGTGATTTAATGGACAATCATTCCTGGAGTTTGATCACGCCGCCTCCAAATAATCAGAGCTTAGAACTCGAGCATTCACCTCAAAACACACACTCCTATCAGCGTATACGTCTCATCTTACTGAAGATACGGTAGGATCTGCTGATGGGAGTCTCCTCAGGCCGGTTTCAGTACTAAGCTGTTGTCCTACCAGGAGTCAGGTGGAGAACTACTGCTCTCCTCACGCAGGTGTTGATCTATGCTTGGCCTCAAGCTCCGACCCTTTCCTCTCTCACTCTCCAGTATCTGTCTTCTCTTTCAGCGTCCGCTTTAGTAGTGATGGGAGATTCACCAAGTAGGTGAAATGTCCAGCCATCGTGAGTCTGATCCCTCTCGGTCTTGCTGATACAGACTCGACCAACGTGTTAGATGTCACAGTACATCATGCTATGTTTAAGGGAGCAACAAGGAAGCGCGGTTTCCATCAATTGGTGTAAACATCACGTGGGAATGGTGTTCGCTGCTCCTTCAGGCCTTACTGTCATCATCAGTACTACTAGTTCATCTCTCCTCTCTCTCCGCCTCTCCAGGTTGGTGGTTCGTCAGCACAGCAGAGGAGCAGGGCTGGGTGCCGGCCACATACCTGGACTCCCAGAATGTTACCAGAGACGATTTGGATCTGGGCACTTCTAGGACCGGAGAAGGTTAGCCCGCAGACGCACGCACGCACCAACACCACATTATTAGATCCATAAAACACAGAGAGACATACTGTAAATGTCATTGCGGCCCACTCGTTCTAGAACCGTCTGCGTGGAACAGGGCCAGGATTTTTAGCACACAGAAGTCAGCACTGAACGCACAAGCAGTACACACATGCTCACAAACACACTTCCAGTCACACATTAGGAACCTTGAAGACCACAGCAGCTCCAGGATGAAATGGTACCAGACCACCAGCCAAAGGGTTTGCAATATTTTGGCACCACAGAAAATTCCTCTGACTCCCCCGAGAGGAGCCTGGTATTGTTGCGACCTTTCCTCCCTAATGTTTAGTCGAAACACTGGGACGGAGTATTTCATCACTGTGTCATAAGCCCCTTTCTGCTTTTACACCCATGGAATCCAAGATAAATAGTATCCTCACATGCATGCTCACAAATACACGCAACACACGGCGTGTGCAGCAGTAAAGGGGATGAAATAAGAATGGTGCGATAGTTTATTATGCTGGATGGTCCAACAGACTGTCGAGCCTCCATGCTTCACTGAGCTGTGCACGTTCTGCAAGACACACTCTGCCAGGATGATGACAGCTCCTGCACAGCTGCCACAGTCACTGTTTGCTCTTCTCATTCCTTTCTCGGATGTTTTTTTTCTCCCCTCGCACGCACACTCACACACACACTAGATGTCGTCAGTGCCTGTAACCAGCCTGTATCCTGGCGGTGAAATAACACGCAGTGTTGGCTGGTTATTTGTTAGTGTTTAAATGTCTTCTTCATCTCTTTTTGTTGCTATCAAATATGTTTAGGTTTAATTTGGAGTCTTATAGATTATTAAACAAATGCATTTCAGTCATCCCTTTACAGGGGAGTTGTGCTTTATTACAACTCGGGGTCTTATTTGTGTAGCTTTGCCTATTGTTTGTCAGTTATGAAAACAGTAATTTAAGTAAAAAATGTTTAGGGTGCTTGAAAACGTATCAAATGAAATCCTTAAGTTGTACCTTATCACAGCATTGTGAGTACAGTCGGCTCAGTAGTGATGGGACAGCAAGGCCGGATCCACCCAAACCAGAATGATCCTTTAAACCCGTGTCGTGTCACACACTCTCTGTTAACCAACGCACTCAAGTGAATTTATGCGGGAAGTGCCTGAGCCCACCACCACACACAAGTACACACACCCTCTTTCCCCTCCACCCCGCATTTTCCCATTAGGCCTGGTGTCCTAGTGTTTGCACACATCGTCACTTCTTATTTCCGATTCCCCCCCCCCCCCCCCCCCCCCCCCCCCCCCCCCCCCCCCCCCCCC